AAAAAAAAAAAAAAAAAAGATATCAACGGTCATTGATTGTGGGGCATAGAAACAGAATAAACGTAGATTTGTTTTTCCTGGAAATGCAAACACAGATATAAAGTTTGCAATCTCTATTGAGAATTATGCATTATGCACTGAGACTTCTGTAAAGCCTACGGAATCAATTAGTAACTATGATGATCCTTATGTAATATCACAAACACCTTTTATTTGTATAAATCCGATGTCTCAAATTACTCAAGCATATTCCACCATTACTTTTCTATGCATCCAATTTCTCCAATTACACATGCATATTTTCCTACAATAAAACACAAAATGGCACAGTGACACAAAAGAAATCAGCTAAAACATGAAGCTAAAGGGGGAATCAGTGTTGTAGAGCCAATGAAAACATGTAACATCGCACGGAAAATTAGGAGATTGCAAAGTTGAACTCAACCATAACATCTATAACGCGATGCGACATTAATGCAGATAGATAAATACTATATCAACAAACCCTGAAAAGCCTACCTTTCGATTGACCAGAAGAATCAGAGCTTGGGTCACAGGCACCCTAAGACGTGATGGAAGGTTCTTGGCCGAAGACTTGAGAAACTGAACCAATTCATTGGGAAACTGAGCCAAATCTTTCGGGTATGAAGGAGTAACGTGGGCCAAAAACATGGCTCGATCACCCAAATCCTTAGCGACTGTGTTATCAGCGGCTACTCCACTCATCGAGTTGAAATTCAAAGCGGCTTGCTGGTGATAGAGCTCAAGAGATGACTTGAATTGATTGTAAACAAGGCTTAGCTCCGAGATATAGCCTTCCGGGTCGGATTTCATCTTGGATTGCAGCATTGGAAGATTGAGCTTTTCCGAGGCCCCGCTAGAAGCTGCTATTGAGTCAGCATCGGGAAGCGACGCCATTTAAACTCCGATGGGATTTTTTGGAAGGAAGAATGCAAAATCCTAGGAGAAAATGGGCTTTTTGAGTGTTGACGGGAACGAGCCGGCAAGCGGTCGGCGACTGGAAGTGTGGCTGGCGGCTGACGACTGAGGTCTGAATTTCAGGGTTTATTTTCGCGTCTTGATGGGAACGAGAACGTATGGGTAATCTTCTAATATATATATAAGGTTAATTGGGATTTAAAATCGTAACATTTTGTGTAATTGTAAGGGCGTCTCCAATGGCTATTTGGCTAACTATTATGACGTGGACAAGGGAAAAGTAAGAGAGAGAGTAGTCACTAGCTACTAACAAATAGCTTATCTATTTCACGTAGCCCAAGATTATGTGAGAGGAGTATGTGGGTCCAATAGTTTAAAATAGTTATTTTTCTTATCTCTCACATCCACGTCAGCTAACCATATAGTTAGTAATAACTATTACCATTGAAGATGCCCTAAATAAAACTCAATTTTTTCAATTTAAAAAAAAAAATATCAAACATTTAATAAGTATTATAATTGTGTCTCAAAATTAGTTTTCGATCATACTAAACCTTGAATAAGATGACCGAAAAAGTCGCCGCCGGAAAAAGTCACCGGTGCCGGTGAAGGTGGACGTCACTAGATGCGACTTTGCGAGAGGAGTTCAACGGTACCTTCGGATTACATGGGTCAAAACGAGTCACCGGGAATTTGCGAAAGAATGTCGGAGAAAATTTGAAGATCTACGATTTTAACCAAAAAATTGGAAGCCTTATCATTCGAATTTTTTCGTGAAACTCGGATATGTTTTCGGCAAGAAGAAGAGCTACAAGATGATGTAAAAGTTTTCAACATCCGGCGAAGTTGGCCTGCAGGGGGGGGGCGGTTGGCGGCGGCGGTCCGGCGG